TTTTGTGATTGGCGGTTGTGACATGTACTCAATCGACATGGTCATGGCGCATGGCATGTACGTGTATATACATGTCCATTTACGCTGCATGTACGTATACGTGGACGTGTACACATGTACACATGTATGATGTACATGTACATGTACAATGTGTGCATGTACAGTGCGTGTGTGCACTGGTAGCGCGCGGCAAGATAGAATCGTTCGAGCGAACAAATGATTCAGATTTTTAAATAGACCTCATCATTGTATAAGAATATCAAAGAATTTCAGACCAGCAGCCTATGTTTATGAGGCAAACATTGTCAACATTCTTTCATTTGATTTACCGTACAAATTACTTTAACATCAACCTTCCACCTGTCACCTTTTCATTTGAACTTAACATAAATTTTGCTTGGAAACCTGTAAAAGAAAGGAGGGAAAACAGAAGTTCGCATTTATGTAAAATGTTATATCATTTGAGCCTTCTCTGTCTCTTCTGACAGACTGTGAATAAAGCAACCCATTTTCAACTGTTAACCACCTACTTGTCTGTGTGGTTATTGCTTGATTGAAATCTATAATTAATCTCATCACTCATCATATAAACAATACGCACCATGTGCACGCTGTTATTTATGAAGTTGAAGTCAGCAACCTACAGACAAAAATTACCTTAAAAATAAAGGGGGAAGGATGCGGACCAGTGAAAATGCTGGCGGACTAGTGAAAAGTCTATATTACTGGTCCGGATGGCCAGTGAAAAAAAAAGTTAAGGGAAAACCCTGCAAGGGCGCCTCAGGCAGCTGCCAAATGACCCACATTCAGCTACATCAGTAAAGAGGAGGCAAGCAGTTACAGTTTGAGAGGTGGGAGGAAAATCCCAGAGGAATATTCTGGGTAACACCCATGGAGTCAGGTAGGGACTGAAAAACCCAATCCGCATATGGACCGGGCCGGGAATCGAACCCGGGACCACAGAGGTAGAAGGCCAGGAAAGAGCTACCTTGCCAACCCAACTCCCCTCTTGGGATCAAAAATCCTGTTTCGTTGGGAATGCTCTATTTGTATGGCTGCAG